AATAATGGGTATTTCTTACTCTAGAGCTTATACATTCATTAATAGTGTGAGAAATTTTAGCCAACATAAGATTGAACAGTAGCTAAACATAAGAAGGTTAAAGTTTTAGTAAATATTTGAATTAATCAGAGGTTCAGGCATAGCAAAATACTGTAAGCTTTATTGACACCCACATATTTTATCCATTAAAAAACTATTAACTCATTTTGCCTTTTGAACTCTGAATGATATTTGTATCTATAGAACAGCCCAGAAAACAATAATAGTATCATATCATATAATCCTCCATTGTTGTTGGATTCTTTACAGTTGTTGAGCTCCCCTGGAAAAAGCCTTATAATTTTGAGACATTCTTTTACTTCAGTTAAAAAAATTAAAATTAGGAAAAAATAATTTTGTTTATCAATGCATAATCTCTATAAGCAGCAAATAGATGCTTAGATTTGGGTTGGGTGAAATGTAAGTGTGAAGGGTGGTGAAGCTGCATGTGCAAAATAGCTAACAGGAATTCAGGGGCAAGTAGGTATCATGGATCAGGGTTGAGTGATCAGTGCCAGACGTTTTGTACAAGCATTAGAGCTTGAAGTGGCTAAGGGTTCACACAGTCAATCAGTGGGGTTGCAGAGATAGGCAGATGCTCCTCAAGAATGGAATTCCAGAAAGGTGCTTGAAGTGGACTGAATCCTAAAAGCCCAGGGCTGTTATATACTAACTGCTATTAGTGTAGAAGAAGCATAAGTGATTCTACTACTCAACTTAGTCTACTAAGAAACTGTAGACTGAGAAGATGAAAAAAGTTGGGGTGATTTGCTGGAGAAAGTATAAGGGATTGAGGGAGAGGGGGTAAATTTCTGAGAGGAGTCTTATGGATTCGTTCCCTGCAGAAAAGTCATTCTGTTCTTTTTTGGTTTAAAGTCTCAGGCACCAGCAGCAGTAGGGTAGAAGTTGGAAGACGAGGCCAAAATAGATGAGCTTGTCAAGTTTGTAAGGTTACTGAAAAAATAAAAAATAAAATTAGAGAAAAGTAGTTGTAAGAGAAAAGTAGTTTGTAAAAACTCTGAAATTGGCTCCAGTTTTAGTGTTTTCGTTTTAGCTGAGTAACTTATGACTTTGAAAAGTCAAAGCCATCAGAACATAACATGTAGCTCAGTCAACTGAATGTTATATTTTGCTGTTGAACATGGGCTAGAGAAGAGAGGCTGTATATTTTTTTCCAATAAAAAACTTCCACTCTCTAGATATTGATCCATACATTCTAATTTAGTTGTGAACTGTCTGCAATGATGTTTGACTTAGGTGATTCGACATGAAAAGAATTCAACCAGTTGCCCTTGCTGAATCTTTTATGATTCCTGAATGCATGGTAAATTGGTTTTTTTTGTTTGTTTGTTTTTATCTTCTTGAGACCTCAGGTTTCTGCAGACCTGTTTTCTCTTTCAGAGTTAAATTTTCCAAAGCTTTGCCTTTCAGTAGAACAGGTTGGATATCTATGCTATGTCTAGCTGTTCAGCTGCTTCTGTATTCTGTCCAAGTATTAGTTTATACTTGAGGGTATGTTTTAGATCAAGGCTGGCACAATGGCCCACCTTTTTGTAAGTAAAATTATATTGGGATATAGCCATGCCTATTTGTGTACATAGTGTCTGTGGCCGCTTTGCCTTGCAGCAGCAGCAGAGTTGAGAAGTTACAACAGACAGTGATTGGCAAGCTTAAAATTTTTGTTACCTGACTCTTTAAGAAAAAACTTTGTTGATTACTGTTCTAATCAGTGGTTCTCAGTGTGATCCATCAGACCAGCAATCTTAACATTACCCAGGAACTTGTTGAAAGCAAATTCTTGTACTTGGCCCAGGCCTACAGAAATTCTGGGGGTGAGGCCCGCAATCTGTGTTTAAGAAGCCTTTCACTTGACTGCTACACATTAGAAGTTTGAGCCTTAGCTGGTGTGGCTCAGTGTTTTGAGTGCTGGCCTGTGAACCAGAAGGTTGCCAGTTCAATTCCCAGTCAGGGCTCATGCCTGGGTTGCTGGCCAGGTCCCCAGTTGGGGACATGCAAGAAACACTGGACCAGTGTATCTCTCCCACACTGATATTTCTCTTCCTCTTTCTTCCTCCCTTCCCCTCTCTCTAAAAGTAAACTAAAGAAAAAACTTTTAAAAAGTTTCAGAAACCTTGTTCTAGAATAACATTTCTCAAATGTTTACATATAGCTTTACTATTTTTAAGCCTGTTTTTCCACCTCACTTTCTTAAGATAATTAAAGAATTTAATGTCCTCAGAAAAATAAATACAATGAAAACTACATGATGTTACAGCAGATAACTAGGCTCTGTTGTCACTTACTCTGTGCTAAAAATTAGAACTTGTTTGTTGTATTAAACACAGACTGAGTGCCAGTGGGAGGGTTTTTTCCTTGATTTATTCATAATAAATAATCACCACTAAGTGAGTGGTGTTTAAAACGTCACGTTAGTGAAATCAAGTAACACCTAAGATCATCCTATGGACAAATCTCATACTTGAAAAATACTGTCTGGTCATTTATGTGGAAAGAAAGTTGCTTGAACTGTATATACCAAAGCTCCTAAGTAGAAATGACTGGCCAGCAGTACACACCGGTGTGTGAGAGGGAGAAGTGGAGGAGGCCCCAAGGGTCCATCTAGACTTCTCCAGAGAAATTTGCTCAACTGACTTCTCACCTCTCCGTTAGTCTTTTGGTGTGGTGGGTGGTTAGCAGTTCTGGAGGATTTCACCAACCTCGCATAGGAAGACTGTGAAAAGGTGCCTTGTTATGGGAAAAACTGCTTATCAAAAATGACTAGACTAGAGACTGGGGTGGGGGAGTGGTTGTGATTTTACATTATGGACAGGGAATACATGCTTACTAGGGGAACAGCTAGTCCACCTCAGATTCTAGGAAACGTGTATTTTGAGAGGTTTCTGTGTTAGAGTTCGATTTGCCTCTTGGTATCACAGGGAATACTTCCCCAGGCATGATCTTCTGTATATTTATTGGCCGACGTGCTGTAGGGGATTGTAATTGCTCATAGGAATAGAATCTTACTTTCAGGAACATTCCCATCTTGCTGAGTTGCTTTAGTTATTGATTCCTTTTCTTTCCTGAGAGATTACGGACATACTTGTTTCTGTTGTCTTTCGACTCTGCAATAAAGTAGTGACATAGGTCTCTAAATCCTAGAGGGACTAACAGTCTAGCGGGGAGTGAAGAATTTACTCAGGAAGCAATGAATTCTGTGATACTGATTGTAGGTGTCCAATTTTGGAAATAAGGGTGTTTAAAAAAATACAAAGACAATCAGATACCTCTAAAAATGAACAAATGTTATTTTGTGTGTTTTCCCCTATACAGTGTAGGGGACTGTGTAGGGAAACATGAGGGACCATTTGTAGTACTTAATTTGAGGAACATATTTGGTGTATATTCAACACATTGCTTCTGCCATGTTGTTTCAGTAGTTGTAAGGCTCAGTCTCCTTCATAGTAATCTTTTTTTTTTTTTCCATTTTAACTTCATTGAGTTGTCTGTCTTTTGATATTTTCATTTCTTTTCCTTTTTTATTTCTTTTCATCATTGGTTTTAGATTAGGGGAGATTCTGCTTAGCTTTTATAGCTGTCATCAACCAATGAGAAATTGCCTTTTTAACAGATAAATCAGCCAGTTGCTTTTTCTTTGGCTCTTTTCAGCTATTTCTTCATAGCCAGAAATAGCTTTCACTACTAATTTTGTGTAGAGAAAAGTTCTGTGAGATAGAAGGCACCAAGTATCCATAGTAGGAGTGTTGCTAAATCAGAATTGCAGCTCTGCAAGTATCAATATAAATTTAACAGGCTGCAGCTTTGGCTTTTTAAATCCTTACCTGAGGGCAATTTTTTTTCATTGATCTTTGGAGACTAGAAGGGAGAGAGAGAGAAACAGTGATGTGAGAGAGAAACATTGACTGGTTGCCTCCTATATGCGCCCAGACTGGGGATCCAACCACAACCCAGGTATGTGCCTTGACTGGAAATCGAAGCCACAACTTTTACGTTATGGGACAATGCTCTGACCATCTGAGCCACACTGGCCAGGGCAGGCTGCAGCTCTTTAATGACTCACTTTATGGCATATGTCCATAAAACACATTCTGTATAATCCACTTCTAGAACTTAACTTTTAGGAAACGATTTGCTCACACTTTTCTAATATATTTCTTAAATCTAAGAGGAGAAATGTGTAGATAGATTTCCTAAAGCATGTATCCTTCCAGAAATGTGATGGCCTTAATCCCTGCCAGTGGCCAAGGCTCTATGCTTGTATAATGAGAGAAGATGTGGTTGTGGCAAGCGATGGAATAGAGTCCTTGGAACATAGCTACTTCAGTATTTCTGTCCTCATATTTCCATTGCCATTCTGTTAGCTCTGAAAGACCCTAAAGCTCTTTTTCCTCCTACCAAGGCTGTTAACCAGTCTCATTCCTTACAATTTTGTTGCTTGGATTTTCATAGACAAGTAGGCTGGTAGATTTAAAAAATTATTTTAGCATTATTGGTCTCTGGTCATATTTCCAGAACTTGTTCTGGAAATTTCTTCTGCAGTGGGCATTGCATTTTTAAAATGTTGGGCTTGTCGTAGGGATTGTGGTGGGGGTGCTATTTGTACTGCTTGTAATTTTAAACCTGTAGGACCACATAGAAGTATTAAGATGAATAGCCTTTCTGAACTGTATAGTTCCCTTATTTTTGCATTTTCTGGAGAAAGGAAAAGCTGCTACTATTACTCAGTATGCTTATAAGTTCTGTTAGGAAGAAGTGACTCGTTGTTACATTTGGAAGGGAAAAGGCCATAACGGGTTTTTCCCAATGCCATCTTTGGCTGAATACTCTTTTTCTTTCCTTTCCTTTCCTTATGTAATAAATATATTCCTAAAAAGTTTGACATGTATCGAGTTATAGTAAATGTTTCCAAAGCATTGATAATCTTTTTAAGTTAAGACATAGTAGTGAGTTCGTTTATAAATGAATTGTATGCTTTGAATTGTATAAATGTACAGTGAATTTAAACAGTATATTAACAAGGGAACATGGGCTGGTTTTTTAAAAAGTTAATTACAAATGGGTTCTTAGGTGAGTTTTAGGCTGAATTCTAAAGGAACAGCAAAGGTAGGTGGGCTAAATTAGTAGAGTTAGTGAGAAAATTGGAGGAGGGTGTAAAAATGATGGAGTTGGTTCTTCAGTGTAATTGTCACCTGTGCAGTGGTAGTCACTGGCTTTTACCTTGGTTTTTACATGAAGTGAAGACATGAGGGTTTACTAGTACCCTGCCCTTTACTAGATTAGATATTGGTCATGGGTCTGTACATAGTTCCCACCTTATTATGTGCACTCAATAGCTTATACTGTAAGAAATGGTAATGAGAAGGTGGAACATTTCTCTGCATTTGAGGACTCGAATACAGGGCAAGGAGAAGCTCAAAGCTTTCAGTTATATGCCTCTCTAGCTCTGGCTTTCCTTTCGCTGAAGGGGTATGGATTTTATTTTAGAGGGAATGTACTTGTCCTGTCTCAAGCTAGCAGTGATACGTGGCCCCTAACGAGTATACCTGAGGAGAGAGCTTTGGTTGTCACACTGCAGGCTATGTCAGGGCTGACCTCCACGTACAAACTAGGGCTTGTGTCTGTGTGCTTTTGGGTTTTTCTCTGTTTTCCCTAAGCTAATTCTGTACCAAAAAAAAAAAAAATACTACTTAGTTGTTTTTATAAATTGCTTGCCATTAATGCCTGATAATATGCAGTAAAATAAGGGTTCTGCATACCATTATGTATGTCAAATATTACAAACTTTAAGGTTCTTTTGAAATTATAATACTAAACTCAGTTCACTTTTGCTTAGCCTTCACAGTTGTTGATCACATAGCATGGTCATCCACTCACAGCTTAAAAAAATACAGGGAGCATCGGAGAGAATGGGTAAAGTAAAATTTTGATGTTTTTAAAATAGCACCTAATCTGTGAAAGTTGATTTGAATGATTGTTTGTATGGGAGGGAGAAGGTGGGTGGCACTGGAGGGGTGGGGGTGGGTATTGGGTAAATAGCATGCACTATGTGAAATGATGACAGATAGCATCTAGGCTGAGGGTTTAAGTGTCACTACTACAATTTAAGTCTAAGTCAGTTTCAGAAAAGGCAGGACCATAAAATGGCAGTGCTGGGATTTACAGTGGTGCTTGTTTTTCCCTCCCAATAGATTGAAGGGGGTTTGGAGAATAGCAGTATTTGAGTATTGTTTGGACAGGAATCTTCTTTTCAGTGTTCATATTGCCTCAGTACCACCTTAGGCTCTGTCACGTTGCTGAAAGACCTCAAGAGGAAGAATATGTATTCCAGTTTTTACTGTACATCTGTGATTCAAGTATTCCCAAACATGGGCTATAATTCATCCAACCTAGGAAGGGGTTGAGCAAACAGATAAGAGGTTAAGAGAGTTGTTACTCTAGAGTGAGTTGCTTTAAATGAAGAGCACTGCCTGTTACAGTTCTAAATCAAGTTTCTAATTCTAAAAACTTAGCTTTGTAGTTATTTACAAAGTCTAGTGAATTATTGTGGAGGTTATAGGGCAGAGAGACGTCCAGGTGTTTATGGGTAGGACATTTTGTTGTTAATGCAAATAACTTGGCCTAATCTCTGCCCATTATTTTAAAACTTTAAAAATTTTTTCATTGTAATTGATTTTTAGAGAGAAAAAGGGAGGGGGAGAGAGTGAGAGAAAGAAAGAGATTGACATCAATTTGTTGTTCCCCTTATTTATGCATTCGTGGTTGATTCTTGTATGTGCTCCAACCAGAGATTGAACCCACAACCTTGATGGATCAGGACACTGCTCTAACCAACTGAGCTATCTGGCCATGGCTATTTTTTAACTTTTTTTTCTTTTTTAACTTAGTTAATACACTAAAAATCTGGATGAAAGGAAAAATCACTTAAGAAATCAGGTTTTACTCCCCAGATGTTCTTGCCCCAACTTTGCTATTCCACTACATGAAACCATTTGTCAAAGCCAAATAGGAATTACTTACTATTCTCCATATCTTTCTGCCTCTGTAAGCTTTGTCAAAGATACTACTCCAGTTTGGAATACTCTTTTCTTTTTGTTCCTGTGGTCAAAGTCCTATCTTTCCTTTAAATTTTGGTTGCTAATCGGAAGCCTTTTCTAACCTCTCTGGTCCTTGGTGGTCATTATAGTCTTAGAATTCCTAAGTGTTGGACACATCCATTTGGCACTTAGATCATGCTACATTGTATTACTACTTCCTACTTCCCTTGAATGTCCTATTTCTCTAGCAAAATCATGGGCTCCCTTGAGGGTAGAGAGCGTGTCTTCTCTGCCTCTTTGTAACCCATCGTCTACCACCGAGGATGTGTTCACGAACAGGCTTGATTCTGATTTGGATCCCATGTTAGTGTAACAGTGCAATTGTTTTTTCTTAACTTAGGTTATTTTTATATGAACATATACCCAGAAAACCCAAAGATAAAAAACACATCGAATGAATAAAACAATTCCTTCTATTGTAACATTTGGTTCTTATTTGTTCCCTGTTGATTGTAGTCCCTCCCTCCCTACCACACTTTTTCTTTTTTCTTTAATGGGCACTGTTTTACCTAGTTTTGAAAAACATGGTTTGGGCCAGATATGTTCACAGAAACCAAAATTATCAGTATTTTTATTTAAAAATTTTTTCGTTGGTTTAGCTTAATTATATTTGCATGGCATAAGCCTAAATGTATTAAATACTACATAGACATGGTAATATAACCAAACTACTTTAAATATTAGTTACAGTCTCTTAAATAAAGTTTAAAAATACCAATAAACAGATACTTAGTTGCTAGTTCCTCTCAGGGTATTTGTATCTCAAATTACTAGTTTAATTGTTTTAAAAGTTTCTGTAATGTATAGGCTGATTTTTGATAGCTTTGTTTCTTGTGTATACCACAGTTATGAAATGAATATAGAACAACCACTTATGTGCAGTGAGAAGGCATTTTAAATACTCTTTGACATTTATAGAAACTGATTTCTTTTAAAGCTCATCAGGGATGTTTGCTAAATTTACATTTGGAATTCATGTTTTAGCTGACAGCTGTGTCTTTAGGGCACATGTCTTAATATTAGATTTAATGTGATTTCTAAGCAAAAACAGTTGCCCCACTTAATGAAATGTAAATTCTGGATTTTATTCTAAGGCCTGGCTGATAAACCGTGAGCCCCCTTAGTTTGACAGAGCTCTGTAGCGCTGCCATGCTGCTGAGAAGCTTCACTACTTCTCACAGGGGAATCCCTAGCTATGGAAGCTGTTGTGTTTCCCTCTACTTAAAAATTTTATTTCATCTTTAAATTCCTTAGTATAATTTGGGTAGAGTTTAAATAAAATATTTCTTTCTTATAAGCCAGGAAGCAAGTAGCCTGTAATACAGTATTGCCATTCTTGTGTCAGCTTATCATCGTATCATTCGACATGAGCTTAAGGCCCTCACTGAAGTCTGAAGGAAATAATATGTTTATAAAAATCATTTTTAAAAATCCCATTTGGCCCAAGGAATACCACTTTCCAGTGCTCCATCCTTGAACTTTTACCTATGGTTGGTCATATTCTTCTTTAGGATTACACACTAAGTCAATGTTTAAAAAAATGAAACACCCTGATTTTGTTCACTTTTGTTTTCATATACAAGAATCTTTACAGTCAACATGTACTTCTACATGCTGTATTGAAATTGCTGGCAGAGTCTGTTCTATACAAACTGAACAATCTGGCCCCTTGTTTTATTTGTAAAGGTTCAATGTATCTATGCCTGCCTACTTCAGTCTGCAAGGGAGTGTCAGAAAGGCCCCGCATTCGCCGAGCCGTGAGTTATTGCCAACTTTTCAGATGTGTTAATGAATGTGGAACAAAAGCAGTTGTGTTTAAAGAAAAGCGGATCATCAAAATAACCATTATTATAGTAGCAGGCGTTAACACTAAATGAATTATTCCAAATTGTGGTATCAAAAATAACCTACTTTAAACTAGAAAATAGCCTCTAGAAAACCTATTGTTGAACTGCTCTGAAGCTACCATTTTAGCTGTAAATTACTGTTCTTAAAATATATATATATTTTCTGGTTACAAATCAGAATGTTCTTTAAGTCTTTTTAATCAAGTTAAAACAATTTGAACAAAATCTTACCCCACCTAAAAATGATAGTATTTAGTTGACTTTGAGTTAAACTCTTCAAAATAAGACCGTGTAAAGGGGGTAAAGTTTTAACCTTTTTTGTGCAATTCACATGTAAAAACCCAAAATCAATTCGAGTAATTGAATCACTTCCTAGAGGAAAGTTTCCGGTGCTCCAGGCATCATGGGAAGGACAGCAGTATTAACAGTCTATTTTGGTACCAGTAGTTCTCGCTTCAGTGATTCACAGTAGGTTTTCATTCAATGATGGCATCAATGTAAGGCTAAAATAAAACACCTCCATTTTTTAGGGCTTTCACTCTACCTACCATTGTTAAGAGTTTCCCCCTGCCCCCAAAGAGATTCTAAGCAAAAAAAAAAAAAAGTACTATCATCTATATTTTATTATTAGTTACATTTTTTTCCTTGGAATCTGTAAATTTTTTAGTAGATAGGCTTCATTAGCAGGTTGGATGCTTCTATTGCTTAGGAGTTGTGTTGTGTTATGTGAAGACAATGAATTTAAATGTATCCAGTTAGGCCATGTATAGCACAGGCTACATAAAACTTGGAGATGTGTGGGACCTTTGGAGGCATTACAGTTAACTTTTCATTTCGGCAATGTGCCTTTGTTTGACTGGTGTGTAAGTCCTTCTTCCAGGTTTGTACGCTCTTAAACACATTTATTCTACCCTCTCTAACTCCTCCCAGCAGCAAAAGGGAGACACTTCAGCTGGAACAAAATAGTGGAAGAAATGTCGTCTGGGGTTCAGTGGGGATTCGCAGTGTGTATGCAATGTTTGCAAGATTATTTTTTATGTTTTTTTAATTAATGTAAATAAATAAATCAATGCTTAGTGTCAAGTAGGGAACGGGTACCAGTAGAGCTCTCCGAGTGGGTCTGCTGCAAGCCGCTTAACCTCTCCAGGCCACAGTCTCCTCATCTGCAGTGTGAAGGAGTTGGACTCAGTAATCATTAAGGTCCATTCCTGCTCTTAAGTCCTATGCTTTTCTGAATTACTTTGTTTAACAGAATGAATGCATTGCTTTCCCACTTTGACTATTTGAATTACATGTGCGGTACACCTACTGCAACTGCATGTTGTCTAAAATAGTTTTTCTATAAGATAGCACATAAAGAACTAATCTCTCTTGAGCTGATTTATAAATGTGTGTGTATAGCCACACATTAAAAGCTAGTGATAGTAGGGCTTTCAGAAAACAAACATTTTTCAGTTGTCTAACCTTGAATGTTACTAATTTTCCTATATTACAGGAGATACTACTCGTCAGCGAATCAAATTCAGTGATGACAGAGTGTGCAAGAGTCACCTTCTCAACTGTTGCCCCCATGATGTCCTCTCTGGGACTGTACGTATTTATTCAATATATTATTTGATTATTGGCATGCTATAAAAATGAACTACTTGGTAGAAAGTCTTAATTCCCTGTCAAATAATTATGCAGTGATTTTTCTTTTTTTTAAAACACTGCTGTTCCAGGAGAGATTTGCATCCCTTATTTATTTGTTTGTTTAGGTTGGTGGTTTTGATCTGCAAGAATGGGATTCCTCATAAAATTAATTGCTGTGCTTTGCTTTATAATTTTTTTTCCATTCCTTAGAGGAATTTTGAAACAAGCATTTCTTACTTGGAATATAGACACGGTTATTAAATAGCAATTGCACTCTTATCTCAGAAATAATACAAATGACATAAATGATAGTTTTTTACTGTTGAGCAGAGCAGACTTTTATACAAAACACCATATATTTTTCTTAAAATTTGTGCACATTTATAGTGTGGAAATCATTGTGGGGAAAATATATTAATAAATACTTATATTCACACAGCTCAATTTGCAAGTAGTGTTGTCACTTAAAATTCATTTAAGTGACTCCTAATGTAAAACACTTAATTTAGATTCTATGTCTAATGATGTCGGGTAATCTTAGAGTCTTACCATTTTACTTTGGAAGATAATCCACCTGATGATGAGCCTGTGTAAATGGGACAAAGGATTTCATCCCCTTTGGTTTGGGTTTGTTTGATATGACCACACACTGCAGGAGGCTCCCTTACCTGGCTGCCTCGGATGATGGAGGAGCACTGGTAGGGGCTAAACGTGCACTGCATTTCTGACTTTGATCTTAAGACGTAACGAGTTCCTTATGGATGTCTGGATGAGTGGTTTCTTCTTCTTCTCTGTTTTTTTAAATTTAATCTTTTTTTCCCCCATTACCATTTAGTCCCCTTGGAGTGGTTTCTTGACAGGAAGAGTTAAATCCTTAAACAGATAGGTGTCAAGATATATAAAATAGAAAACACCTTTTTCCAGTAGGAAATAGTGTTGAAACTATATTGTGTTAAAATGAAAAAAGAGTCTATATTAAAGTACACACATATATATAATACTAAATTTTCTTGAAATTTTTTTCTTTATCTTTTTAGAGAGGGGGGAAGAAACATCAGTTGGTTGCCTCTTTTTTTTTTTTTAATAAGATTTTACTTATTTATTTTTAGAGAGGGGGGAAGGTAAGGGAGAAGGAGAGGGAAAGAAACATCAGTGTGTGATTGCCTCTCACATACGCCCCTTACCAGGGGGCCTGACCCGCAACCCAGGCATATTATATGCCATGGCCGGGAATTGAACCGGCGACCCTTTGGTTCTTAGGCCACCACTCAATCCACTGAGCCACACCAGCCAGGGCAATTGGTTTCCTTTCTTACTGCTACTGGGGATGACACCTGCAATCTAGGCATGTGCCCTGACCAGGAATTGAACCTGTGACCTTTCAGTTTATGGGATGACACTCTAACCAACTGAGCCGCACTGGCCAGGGCCGTATGTAATTTTTTAGAAGTGTGGTACCAGAAAGAAAGAAATCCAGTTTCCGAGCATTTGAATTGGTGCTATGAAAGGTAATTAACCCTCCTCTCTTTAGTGTCCATAATTGAAATATTTTCTACTATATAATTGAAACCTGTAAAATCTATAATTATCTGTGATATACTTTGGTTCTCCCTATTTTCTATTAAGTTTAACAGTTAAAGTCATTTTATTTACTGGCTAAATTATCACTTCAACTAAATTTTGAGAACAAAAGTAACAGCATAATCTAGGTTTTTGTTTTTGTGTTAAAAAAATACTTAAAACCAACCCAGGAAGACTTGAACATATTACATTAATCAGGTATGGCATTAATAGAAATGTGACATCACAGTTGTGCTTTACATTTTCACTGTGTGTAAAATGCAGTAATGCCTCATGTGTTTCTGAAAACAATTTTGTGAGGTGTGTGATCCATAAATAGCCTTAATGATGGTGACTCACCCAAAATCATTCGGTTCTGTTGATTTAAAGTGAAACTGGGCCAAGCCTGAATTTTCTGAGGTCTAGTATTATTCAACATATTTTCTGACTTACAGGTAATATTCTTCATCCTGTTAAGTAAAAATAATGGATGGTTGGTCTTGAACGTTCCTTGTAAAATTCTTGCTGTTGGATTTATAAGATTCACAGTTTTAAAATTTCAGCATCTCTGAAATACACATCTTACATTGTTGATGAAAAATACTATCTTAATTGGCAACATTTTCTTCATGATAGAGAATTTCGTGATGAGGCTTAAGATTGATTCTGTGGATTACAGGAAAACCAGTGATTAACCCTTCTAAGGCACTTGCCAGGAAAACTTTGGATGAGAAATATGTTCCTTTCATCAGTCTAATAGAGAAGAGATTGTTATATGCAAGGATGCAGTTTGGAAGTTGTGAAGCTCTATCAGAATTTAAACATTTTATGACTGGCTGTATAGGACTTTGTGAAATTCCAGGGTTGTCATAGAGTAGTGTCCTTGAGAACTTAAAACCAAGCATGACTTTATGATCCTTATTACTGAAGGGGGCTATTTATCTTATATGCAAATGGCTTGTAATTATAGAGCTATGCCTTCTTTAACATCCAGTCTCTGTAGAACAAATGCTTTTTTTGGCACAGTTAGTATCTGTTTATCTGGAAGATGTCTATTTTTTTATTTTACATAGTAAAGGATGAAAAGAACTGGAATGTAACTGTTGATTTTGTAATGTGTTTTCTTTATTATATAACTAAAGGTTGCCCTTTAGTTTTCATGACTGTTCCTTAAATCTGTCATTTCCAATAGAATATGACCCACCAATATTCTATATTACTTAGCAGAATACATAGAAATGTATTCTCCAGCTTTATTCGTTATAAGTGGTTGAACTTTATACCAAGCACTTAGAGATGGAGAGTGTGATTTCTAAAAATGTACTCACTGACATTTAGTATGGAATATTTTTGGAATTGAGTTTGATGAAAATGCCCTTATAACATTTTACCTTTTATTAATCTGGTACTCTGTTATAACCAGTTCTTTAGCTAATAAATTATTCAGAGGAGGAAAAATATAGAGCAAAGGATCAAAATAAGTGTGTCTGTAAATATGTATCTTTGGATTATGTTATTTTGGATTATGATTTTTATAAGAAGCATGAATATTTTTTGTAACTTAGGAAGTTACTGTTTTCAAAGGCTTGAGTTGTTTCCCTGTTCATCTAGAATATTCTCTTTATTCCCCTTGTCACACTTGGTTTCTTCCTGTTCTATTCATTCCCTTTTAGATTTAGGCAAAACAAAAACAAGAGTTTTTGCCTAAAGCAGAGTTGTCCTCCTTCTCTCCTCCAACACATATCTTCCCTGAGGAAAGATAGGTACAATAAAGTGCTTAAAAGTCTTTCCATCTGGTCCTAGTGATCTGGGGAAGAGATATGTAATGGTAATAATTTGTAGAAGGCTTTAATGCAGAGAGAGGAACAAAATCTTGAAATTAAGATCTGCAGAGATGGAAACGTGTGCTCTCATAAAGTGCCTGGCCTAAGTTCAGAAATGGCCCTGCTCATTTTATTATAGGCCCCATCAGAGTATAATTCGAGTGTTGACAGGTCAGCATGTCTTCTTGCTGACCTGTGAGGTCATCGTCATTTCATAGATGGGAAAATTTAAGGCTTAGAGAAAGTGTGCTGGCCACATGTCTCATAGTTCAAGAGTCACAGTATCTTATGCTACATAGGAATCTCAGAGTACTTTAAATCTAAACACTTTTTAAAATATTTTTTGTTGTTATATATATTTTTTAGATGACACAGTTACCTAGTGTAGTGACTTCTGAGTGTTTCTGAAATGTCTTGGAGGCAGTGCATATATTAAGGACATGGGGATAGGCCAGTGTTTCTATTTCAACTAGAATTTTGCACATTTTAAATACAGAAAATTTCCATGAAATTTTGTTTTAATAAAAAGGTTCTGCTTAGAACCTAAGAAGGTTCTGCTAAATTAAAGAACTCATACTAAGAAATACTTAGGGACAGAGAAAGTAAAAAATTGATTTCCCCTTTTGAAGTGATTGGATGAGATGTTACTGTCAAAAATTCTGACTGAGTTGATTTTATGGTGCCCCAATAGGTTCTAGGTTTTATCCGAACTGCAATTTTTACTAATTGAAACTCCTTTATTGCTTCTCTAACTCTTTCTTTTAAGGCCTGGTCTAAAATCAGTTACTTGGGTGCATACAAACCTGAACTTTAAAACTGCTGAAGCCTCTTTGATAGTACATATGTAAAAGCCATGAAAGTATGGAGAAGCAGAATAAATGATAAGAAGTAAACCTGCACAAAATTTTCTCAACCAGCCACTAGAATGTAAGTTTGACTTTAAGGGCAGGGAACCCTGTTTCGTTCCCAGTGCTGTATCCCCAGCATCTAGAACAGTGTCCCCTGCCTTGTGTTGAATGAATATTGATCTACCCAGAAGTAGAATGCTAAATAAATAAACCTGTTTCAAAACTAACTTTGGTTTAAAAAAATTAATAATTAGTGGGAAATGTGTTGCCTTTTAACGGATAAGGAGCTGGAGAGTGCTTTGGTTTTAGTGAGTTGCTTATCAATATATGACAGCAGTGGTTTCATATGCAGGTACGAGAACATTAGTCTGTAGATCAGAGGCGTCAGACTCGTCTTCACCAGGAGGCACATCAGCCTCGAGGTTGCCTTCAAAGTGCCGAAGGTAGAGCTCCTCGCCCTTGGTTAAGGAGCAGTTACGTTGATACAGTCCTAAAGTTACATTCGGCCCTTTGAAGGCCGCCGTGAGGCTGATGTGGCCCACGGTGAAAATGAGTTCGACACCCCTGCTGTAGATGTTTTAAACTATCTCTTCCTCAGAAATGGTTTGTTTTGAGCCATTTTTAAAAAGATTTTATTTATCTTTTAAGAAGGGGGGAAGGGAGGGAGAAAAAGAGGGAGAGAAATATTGATGTGCCAGAGGTACATCCATCACTTTTTGCCTCTTGC